TTGTCCATTTTCTTCGTTTTGCACCAATCAAGATCTGCGATTTTCATGAGTCATAATCTATGATTTTTGTCCATTTTCGTTCCTTTCGATCCGATGACAATTAATAATGCCTTTTCTTTAAATTCAAAGTTTTAATGAGCTCTAATTCAAATTATTTAACCATATCATTCTTTTTGACCTAATGACAACTAAGTATGCATATTTCAAAATCACAATTTTCGTGAGCTATAACTTACTTTTTTTTGTCATTTTTTGTTGGGTTCGACCTAATGACAATTGAGTATGCTTATTTCAAAGTTTGTGATTACATGAAATATAACCTACAATTTTGTCCATTTTCGTTTGTTTTGACCCATTGAAAATTAAATATGAGAACTTCAAAAGTTACAATTTTATGAGTCGTAATCCATAACTTCTTTTTTTCCATTTTCGTTCGTTCTACCTAATGGCGTTTGTGTTGTTCAAAAATCCCGATCATCATGGACTATTACCCGATTTTTTGATGAAATTTGATCTTTTTGACCAAATAGAAAATTATGATTACTTCAAAGATCGAGATTATCATAGGTTAGCCCCTAACTTTGACATTTTTTCTTTGTTTCACACCAATGCCAATTAATTATGCCTACTAGGAAATTGCGATTTTATAGGGTAGAACCTATGATGTTTCTCGATTTTTGTTCTTTGCCCCCCAATGACATGAAATATGTATATTTCAAAACTTCGCAATTTTCATGGCATCTAATCCATAATTTTCATCCATTTCATTTTCGTTCGCTTCGATCCCATAGCAATTACGTATTCGCACTTCAAAAATTGTGATTGTCAATGGGTTTAGTAACATTTTTGTCCATTTTCGTTCATTTTGACTACATGACAAATTAAGTATGAGTACCACAATATTCGGGATTATCATGGGTTATAACCTGCGTTTTTTGTCCAATTTTCTTTGACTATGACCCTTTTTCTTGTCATTTTTCGTTGGTTTGAGTATTTGACCTAATGGTAATTGAGTATGCATATTTCAAATTTGCGTTTTCATTAGCTATAATACTTAATTTCTGTCCATTTTTGTGCTTTTTGATCCAATGGACATTTAAGTGTTTTACAAAATTCGTGATTTCATGAGATATAATCTATGACTTTTTTCCATTTTCATTCAATCTACCTAATGACAAGTATGCATACATGAAGAGTCGAGATTATCATTGGCTACGTTTTGTCCATTTTCGTTTGTTTTGACCAAATGGCAAATTAAATATGCACATTTCAAAATTTGCGATTATCATGGGCTAGCCCAATATTTTTGTCCATTTTTCTTCGTTCCATACCTATGACAATTAATTACGCCTAGTTCAAAATTTGCAACTTTCATGAGTTAAAATCACGATTTTTGTCCATTTTTGTTCATTTTGACCCAATGACAATGAAGTATGCCCACTTCAAATACATGATTTTAATGGGCTCTAACCCACGATTTTTGTCCATTTTAGTCGCCTCGACCTAATGGCAAACTAAGTGTGCACACTTAAAAATTGCAATTATTATGAGCTATAACTTATGATTTTTGTCCAGTTTTGTCTGTTTTGGAAAATCAAATATGTATACTTCAAAATTTGCAGTTGTCATAGGTTATCCTACACCGTTTTTGGTCATTTTTGTTCTTCTGGACCTAATGCCAATTGAGTGTGCATATTTCAAAATTCACACTTTCATGGGCTCTATCCACAGTTTTTGTCCATTTCATTCAGTTCGACCTAATGACAATCTAGTATGCGTACTTCAGAAGTCGCGATTATCATGGATTATACATATATTTTTTAAAACATTTTCATTTGTTTTGACCAAATGACAAATTAAGTAGGCTTACTTTGAAATTTGTAATTGGCATGTGCTATGCTCCATGACATTTGTCCATTTTGATTCATTTCGACCCAATGAAAATTAAATGTCTACTTCAAAATTGAGTTTTTTGTGGGTTATAACCTATGATTTTTGTTCATTTTCGTTCGTTTCAATCTAGTGGCAATAAGTGTATGTACATCAAGTTCGTAATTTTCATGGGCTATATCATGATTTTTGTCTATTTGCATTCGTTTTGACTGAACGACAACTAAGTATGCATACTTTTAAATTAGCGATTTTCATGGGCGATATGTTAATATATGCTTGCTGCTGCTGAATGACAATTTAGTATGAAAACTTTTAAAATGTATGATGTTCATAGGGTTCTAACCCATGATTTTTGTCCATTTTCGTTTATTTCCCCTCAAGGGCAATCAAATATGTGTACTTCAAGATTCACGACTAGGCTAGCCTATAACCATGATTTTTGTCCATTTTTGTTCGTTTCAACCCACTAACAATTAAGTATGCGCATTCCCAAATTCATGGTTTTTGTAAGTTGTAACTCGTGGTTTTTGACTATAGTCATCCACTTTTTTGTCCATTTTTTGATGGTTTGAGCCCAGTAATAATTAAAGAAGCGCAATTCAAAATTTATGATTTCATGGACTATAACTCATGATATATTCATTTTCGTTCTTTTCAACTAGATGACAATTAAATATGGTCAATTAACAATTCACAATTTTTTGAGCTCTAGTTTATGAACATTGTCCATTTTCATTTATTTTGAACTAATAGCAATTAAGTCCGCGTACTGTAAAATTCGGTTCGTAAAATTCGTAGAACCTACGATTTTTATCCATTTTCATATGATTTGAGTCAATGACAATTAAATGCGGGTACTTCAAAATTCACGATTTTCATAGGCTAGATTTTGTCCATTTTGTATGTTTCGACCTAGTTGCAATTAATTATATGTATTTTAAAACTTTTGATTTTCAGGGGTTATAGGCCATGATTTTTATCCAATATTTGTTTATTTTGACCTAATGGTGATTAAGTTGCGTTCTTCAAAACTCGCGTTTGTCATGGCTAATAACTCATATTTTTTGGCTATTTTGGTTTGTTCCGGTCCATTGTTAAATAAATTTGTGTACTTTAAAATTTGTGCTTTTTCGGGCTATACCGTCCATTATCATTCGTTTCCACCTAATGATATAAGTATGCTGTCTTCATTATTTGCCATTTTTTGGGCTGACCTAAGATTTTTTTTCATTTTTGTTTGTTTTGATCGAACGACAATTTAGTATGCACACTTCCAAATTCGTGATTTTCAATGAGCTGTAACCTATGATTTATGTTAATCTTCGTCTATTTCGTCCGAAAGGCAATTATTTAGGCTATAACTTGTTTTCTTGGCTCCATTTTTTGATGGTCTCGACCCCAATGCCAATCAAGTACGCATAATTCAAAATTCGCGATTTGTTGAACTATATCCCACGATTTATTCATTTTCGTTCTTTTCAACCCGATGACAATTAAATATAGGTACTTTTCAATTTGCTATTGGCTCTAGTTGATTAACTTTGTCCTCATTTCAATCTAATAGCAGCCATGTATGCGTATTTTCAAATTCGTGATTTTTATGGGCTATAACCTACAGTTTTTGTCCATTTTAATTTGTTTTGAGTTAATGGTGATTAAGTGTGGGTACTTCAATTCATAATTTTCATGTGCTAAATTTTGTCCATTTTCATTTATTTCGACCCATATAGGCAATTAAATGTGTATGTCAAAACTTCTGATTTTCATGGGTTATAGGGCACAATTCGACCTAATTGCGACCAAGTTACTTCAAAATTTATGTTTGTCAAAGCTAATAATGCACATTTGTGTCCATTTTGGTTCGTTCTGGTCCAATGGCACGTTTGTCTACTTCAAAGTTTGTGATTTTGACGCGCTATACTGTCCATTTGTGTTCACTACCCCCCAATGACATAGGTACACATTATTCAACTTTCACTATATTTTGGGATATAGCCTATGATTTTCGTCCAATTTTGTTTTTTTCGACCAAATGGAAATTTAGTGCGCGTACTAAAAAACCACGAATTTTGTTTAATTTTCATTTGTTTCTACATGTTTGTTTTTCACCCATCTCCTTTCAAAATTGGTCATCATTTTAGAAACTTTATTGGTATGCCGGACAAATTCCGTAATCTAATTGTTGAAGAACATTTGACTTCATGAGGGAAGCATCATTGAATGCAAATATAACTCTTTAAGTCTCATAATTTTCAATAGTTAACCACTAATATCTTTTGAAATTTAAACTAGCCCTCTCTCTCTCTCTCATATAAACTTATCGGGCCATGCAAATCCTAAAGTTCTCTCCCTTGAAAGCTATTTGATCTTTAATGAAACCTCAACTGAAATCCACCTAAAGCTACTGTTAGTATGAATTAGAGTAATGGAGGAGAATGGCTGAGTCAAGGATTGCTTTATTGAGAAGAAGTTCAAATCCTACTACCCCAATGAGGTTACACTAACTTATAGAAACAAAATTGAAATATTGATTTCAATCATAGACGTCATCAACTTTGAGAGGGATGAAGATATGTAAGGATAAATGACATCTTTTTTATTTATAAAATTTGGGTACTTACAAATAGCAAAATTTGAATATGACATTGCTATTCTGAATATAACACTGCTTGGGTATGGGATTGACCTTTTCCTTTCCAGCAGGTGGATAAACTTTGCTTGGACAAAACTTATTTGATAGCCTAAGATATGCCTAATTAAGTTAATAGAATCAGCCCCAACAGGCTTTAATTGTTTAAAATCCTTGTGCTTACACAGGGAGTTTTCTTGTAGTCCTGGCAAGAAACTTCGTCAACATGCCTGATCCTTCTTAAACTAACATAAAATATGTATTATTGTCTTAGTCTTCTTTTCTCTACTGTTTCCTCACACCTCAAATATGGCAAATTTTGTGTTATAGAGATTCTACATCCACAAACATTTTAAACTTAAGTGAGAGTGTGTTATAGAGATTCTATATCCACGATCATTTTAAACTTAAAATGAGATACGGAACATTTGCTTTTCTGGAATTGATCTTTTGTCCTGCATGTTTGTATATGATGCAGAAAGGTTCTTCAACAAGATTTTGATTTGAGCCTTGCTTTCTGCAATCACGAGAAGAAACAAAGAAGTGAGGTATGTCTAATAAAAACTCTTTTACTTTTGCTGACATAGTCACATGTAGAGATGTGGGCGTATTTATCCATTCATGCATATACTATCAGGTTCCAAATCCTTCACGGTATCTTTTGGCCTTTTTTTTCCACTTTGTTATTTCCTTCCTCAGTATCTTATACCTATGTACTGGTTTTGAATATGTATCTCCTTAGTGGACAATCAGCCTTCATTTAGTGTAACAGAAAGAGACATATGGTCATGCATCAACCTGGTTCCTTCCTTAGTTCTCAGATTTTAGTTCAGCCTATACGCTATAAATCTATGAAGCTAAGTCTGTTAGGATATAAAACCTAGGAGAATAATTCCCGAGTATCAAGTGGCTAATAGTTAATGCTTCATCAATAACAAAGATATCCTAAGCGCTAAGCTTGATCCTCACATCAAAACTTGCACTACCCCTGTCTTAAACACAATGGCACACATTGTTATTTCTGTGACGTGGAAACTTCTCATTTATAATATTTAAGTTGCATATAATATAAATATGCATATGTACATGTCTATAGATTAATTATGACTCTTCTAAGCATAGGAGTCGTAATTAGTATGTATATACAAAAATGTGTCCCCAAATTTGTCTATTTTAATCCCTTTCAAAACCATTACAATTAAGTATAGCTATTTCGAAATGTGCACTTTTCATGGTTTATAACTCACAATTTTTGTCCATTTTGCTCATATCGATCCAATGCCAATTAAGTTCGTTGACTTTCAAATTCCCGATTTTCATGGGTTATAACCCAAAATTTTTTATCCATCTTGTTCGGTTCAACCCAAATGCAATTAAGCACGCATAGTGTAAAAATTGTGCTTTTCATAAGCTATATCCCAATATTTTTTATTCCGTTTTGTTCATTCAGACGTAAAGGCAATTAAGGACGCTTCTTCAAAATTAACTACTTTATGGGGTATAATCCATGATTTTTATTCATTTTCATTCGTTTCAACATAGTGGCAATTAATTACACATACTTTAGTATTCACAATTTTCATGGGCTATAATCCACGTCTACTTTTGTATGCTTTGACTGAATATCACTTAGTTATATGCACTTTGAAATTTGCGATTTTCATAGTCTATATCTTATGATTTTTGATCATTTTTATATGTTTCGGCCTAATGACATAAGTATGCAAACATTAAAATTTATGATTTTCATGGACTATCACCCACAATTAGTTCTGTTTCGACCCAATGACAAATAAGTGCACTTCAAAATTTGTAAGTTTGTGAGTAATAACTCATGATATTTGTCCATTTATGTACCTTTGGACCTCCTAGCAATTAAGAACACATGCAAAATTTATGATTTTCATGGGCTATAACTCATGATTTTTGTTCATTTTGTTCGTTTCGACCCTACTATTATGTACATGTACTTGAAAATTTGCAATCTTCATGAGCTATAAACGATGATTTTTGTCCATTTCTTTGTTTCGACCAAATGACGAATTTTATGGCCTAAAATCCACATATTTTTTCTCATTTTGTTCAAGAGAAAGGTAATAACTATACATCAAAATTCATGATTTTTATGGGCTATACCCCATTATTTTTGTCTATTTTTCCGTTTCAACCTACTGGCAATTAATTTCACATACTTTCCAATTTACGATTTTCATTGTCTATAACCCAAAAATTGTCCATTTTTGTATGTTACGACCTAATAGTAGTAACTCACACATTACTTTTGTCTATGTTACGATTTTTATCATTTTCGTACATTTTGACCTAATATCAATTATGTATGCTTACATCAAAAAATTTCAATTTTCCTGGGCAATAATTCACGATTTATCCGTTTATGTTCCTTTGGAACTTGTTTTAATTAAGTATGCATTCAAGATTTATGAATATCATGGGCTATTATTGAATCACAAATTTTGTCCATTTCTATTCGTTTCGAGCCTATGGCAATTAAGTACGCTTTATTCCAAATTCATAATTTTCATAGGTTATAATCCATATTTATTTAGTTTGTTCGTTTAGATTCAAAGGTAATTAAGAAACATTCTTCAAAATTCACAATTTTTTGTGACAATTTAATGCGTGTACATAAACGTTCATAATTTTCATTGGGGCTAAATTACACATTTGGCATAAAAAATGACACCTTTTTACCGACAAGACCTAGAAAGTGGAGATGTCGACAAGAAGACCAAAATAGTGACCTGGTTTACAAACAAAGCATTTCTGATTGTCTCTTTTTGTTTGAGCGGTAAATTAGGAACATAACCGCCAAGAGGCTTTAAAATAGTGACTATTTTTAAGGCAATTTAATAGTATAAGAGCTAAATTACCAAATGCACATGCCTATTTTGCCCCTCAGATTAAAGGCAGTGATAAGAGATGTCTTGTTGGTGAGTTGGATCACATTTTAGGTCTTGTTGTCACTGCCATCACTTATTAGGTCTTGTTGGTAAAAGGGTGTCACTTTTTATTCTAATTTGATGTTTAGCCTTTTCATTGGCCACCCTATGCTTATTGCCCATTACTTTCTTTCAAATTCGCGATTTTCATGGGTTATAACGTGCAATTTTATCCATTTTTTGTTCATTTCGAGCCAAAAACAATTAAGTAAGCATACTTAATAATTCGGGATTTTCATGAGCTATAACCCATGAATTTTGTTCATTATCATTCATCAATTAATTATGACCACAAAATTTGCGAATTTTTTGATGGGTTTTTACCCAAAATTTTGGCAATTTTTGTTCGCTTCATTTCAGTAACAAGTATCAATATGTACTTTATATAATTGCAATTTCATGAGCAATGTTCCACGATTTTTGTCAATTTTTGTTTTTCTACTAAATGACAAATAAGCATTCGTACTTCAAATTCATGATTTTTATAGGCTATAATCCATTATTTTTATTCTTTTTTTCTTCATTTCGACCAAATAAAAATAAGTTTGCGTAGTAAAAAATTTGTGATTTTCACGTGATATAGTCTATTTTTTGTCCATGTTTGTATGTTTTGACTCAATATCAATTAATTGTGTGTATTTCAATTTCCGTGACTTTTATAGATTATAGTCCATGATTTTTGTCCATTATTATTCATTTGACCTAAGGACAAGTAAATCTGATTACTTCAATATTTGTGATTTTGTTTGGTTATATAACGCACAATTTTTATCCATTTTTTTCGTTTCGTCCTATAACAAGTAATAATATGTACTTCAAAAATCACAATTTCATAAGCTATAAACCATGATTTTTATTGAATTTTTAGTATTTGAACAAATGACAAATAAGTGTGTGTACTTCAAAATTTATAATTTTTATGGGGTATAGTTCTTGATTTTTCTTGTTTTTGTTTGTTTTAGCCAAATGATAAACAAATATGCGCAATTCAAAATTCTTTATTTTTTTGGACTATAGTCCCGAAAATTTCTCCATGTTTGCTTGTTTTGATCCTATAGAAATTAATTGCGCAAACTTCAATATTCACGATTTTCATGTGGTATATAGCCCATGATTTTTGTCTATTATCATTTATTCGTTCTAATGACAATTTATTATGACTTAAAAAATCGCAATTATGATGGGTTATAACTCACGATTTTGACAATTTTTGTTCATTGTGTTCCAATGACAAGTATGATATGCACTCCAAAATTTGCGATTTTCATGAGCTACGAACCATGAATTTTATTGAGTTTTCGTTTTTCAATCAAAAGGCATACAAATACACATACTTCAAAATTTATGATTTTCATGGGCTATAGTTCATGATTGTTGCCCATTTTTGTTCATTTGCCAAATAATAAATAAATACGCGTAGTTCAAAATCATTGATTTTCATGGGACACAATTCATAATTTTTGTCCATTTTTCGACTCGATAGAAATTAATTGTACGAACTTCAATATTCGCGATGTTCTTCTATATAACTTACGATTTTACCATTTTTGTTTCGTTGCATCGTAATAATATGTACTTCAAAATTCATGATTTATGTTAGCTATAAACCATAATTTTTGTCGATTTTTGTTTTCTATCAAATGGCGCGTCAATATACATACTTCAAAATTCATGATTTTCATGGGCTATAGCCTATGATTTTTTATCCATTTTTTTGTGCTTCGACCCTATTTGTGAACTTCAATTTTTGATTTTTTTATAACCCAAAATTTTGATAATTATTGTTCGTTTTGTCATAGTAACAAGTATTAATATGTACTTCAAATGCCACTATTCATGAGTTATAGACCACTTTTTTGTCAATTTTGTTTTTTTCGACCCAGTGCATGTTTGGTTGCTTAAAAAAAAATAAATCATCATTATCATTGGGTATTTTCCTTGATTTTTTTGTCCATTTTTGTCTGTTTCAACCTACAATTAATTATGTAAACTTTAATTTTCACAATTTTCATAGGCCTACAACAATGATTTTTGTCTATTACCATTCATATTCTAATAGAATTAATTACGATTATTTAAAAGTTCATGATTTTGATGGGTTATAACCCCACAATTTAGCACTTTTTGTTCATTTCAACCCAATAACAAGTGTCAATATGCACTTCAAAAATCGCAATTTCCTGAGCTATATGCCTCGATTTTTATTAAAATTTTTCAGCCAGATAACAAAAAAGCTAGGTTACTCGGGCACTTCATCTAGGATGCAGTATCCGTGTCTGTGTCGGACACTCTCTGGACACTTTTGAATGTATACATCTAGCAATTCAGACGTGTACTCAAATCATATACTACATGTTTTAGTTTAGAACACTTGTAACCCACTTATTCGACATATATCATACACTTCACCTGAAATTTCTGCTACTCGAGACTCGGTTTGGCTTTGTTTCAACCCATACACAATTCATAAGCATGATTTTAATGGATCAATTGGTTTCTAGTTAAGAAATGAACGATTTTTCAATTTATAATCTCTTCAACAAAAGAAGCATAATATGTTACAGGATGTTATTTCTCATGACATGCGA